TTATAATATCCAGACTTTTTTGTCTTTCTTATCGACAATTGTTAAGTCTGGGGTGTTATGTTGCAGGTGCTTCTCTGTTTGAATTCTGAAGTCCCAGAGCAGTTTAATTTTATCATTTTCTATGACTTTTTCTATTTTATGATCCCACCAGTTTTTGCTTACAGGCAAATGATGTTTTTTGCAGATCTTCCAATGCACCATTGTTGCTACTTTGTCGTCATCATCATCATCATCATCATCATTATTATTACTCTTATTATTATGGATCATCGCACAGTCAGCCAGATGTTCAGACTGGATTTGGCATTTTGTCTACCTATCGAGTCCTTACCCAGGACCTGGGATAGGCAAATGTGGATGTTTGATGGTATTACAGATATCGTCGCAGGATGGAAGCAGTTCCTAGTAAGGCCGCCTTTTGCAATTGACTAATAGCAAATTTGTCAATGCCAATGGTGTTCAAGTGGTGCTCCAGTTGTTTTGGGATTGCACCCAAGGCACCTATTACTATTGGTACTACCCTTGCTTGCTTTTGCCACAGTCTTTCTATTTCTATTTGTAGGTCTTTGTATTTTGTTATCTTCTCCAGTTCTTTCTCTTCTATTCTGCTATCTCCAGGCACTGCCACATCCACTATCCAGACTTTTTTGTCTTTCTTATCGACAATTGTTAAGTCTGGGGTGTTATGTTGCAGGTGCTTGTCTGTTTGAATTCTGAAGTCCCAGAGCAGTTTATTTTTATCATTTTCTATGACTTTCTCTATTTTATGATCCCACCAGTTTTTGCTTACAGGCAAGTGATATTTTTTGCAGATCTTCCAATGCATCATTGTTGCTACTTTGTCATGCCGCTGCTTGTAATCAGTCTGTGCAATCTTCTTGCAACAGCTTACCAAGTGGTCCACTGTTTCTTCAGCTTCTTTGCATAGGCGGCACTTACTGTCTGTTGCTGTCTTCTCAATTTTGACTTTGTATGCATTTGTCCTTAAGGCTTGGTCTTGTGCAGCCAGACTTAGTCCCTCGGTCTTTTTCTTCAATTTTCCTGCTCTTAGCCATTGCCAGGTCTTGTTATTATCTGCTTTCCCAGCTATTTTTTTAATGTATTGGCCATGTAGTGCTTTGTCTTCCCATGCCTCTATTCTGTTCTTCATTTGGTCTTTCTTGTAGGTCAGTTTGGTCTCTCCAGTAGTCAGTAAGCCTTCCTGATATACTAATTTCAGTGCATCTTCATCATTGTTCTTCAGATATTCTTCCAAAGCCATTTTTTCTTCTTCAACCATCTGATGTACTTGTAGCATTCCACGGCCACCTATTTGCCTTGGTAGATAAAGTCTGTCAATGTCACTGCGTGGATGAAGGGCATGATTCATTGTCATTATTTTTCTGGTCTTTCTATCCATTGCTTTTAGTTCTGCTTGAGTCCAGTCAACTATTCCAGCTGTGTACCTAATGACTGGAATTGCCCAGGTGTTGATTGCCTTTATGGTATTTCCTCCATTGAGTTTGGACTTTAAGATCTTCTTCACTCTCTTGATGTATTCACCTCTAATCTTTTTCTTGACTTCAGTGTGCTTGATGTTGTCAGCTTGAAGGATACCCAAGTATTTGTAGTAATCTTCCTCATCCAGACTCTTAATGTTATTTTTGTGGGGCATCTTGATTCCTTCAGTTTTCACTACTTTTCCTTGTTTGATAGTAAGTGTGGCACATTTGTCCAAGCCAAACTCCATAACAATATCTTGGCTATATATACGGACAGTGTTGAGCTGCGATTCTATTTCAGATGATGTTTTTCCATACAGTTTCAGATCGTCCATGTAAAGGAGATGGGATAGTCTGATAGATGTTTTTGATATTTGATAGCCATGTCCTGAGTTATTCAGTATTGTTGACAGAGGAAACAGTGCAATAACAAATAGTAATGGTGATAATTAATCTCCTTGAAATATTCCTCTCTTGATATTAACCTCTCCCAGTCTCTCCCCATTGATCTGCAACTGTCTTCCATTGTGCCATCGATCTTTGCACAAATTTTCTGATGTTTCTACTGACTCCTGTTATTTCTAGGCACTTGATTATCCAGTCATGTGGCAGAGAGTCAAATGCCTTTTTGTAGTCAATCCATGCCACATTCAGGTTGGTCTTCCTTTTCTTGCAGTTTTCCAAGATCATTTTGTCTATTAGGAGTTGATATTTTGTTCCTCTGCTATTGGGGTGGTTTCCTTTCTGCTCAGGTGGAAAGAGATTGTTTTCAACTAGATGCTGTTGTACTGCATCAGCTACCACACCAGTTAGTAATTTGAAAGTTGTTGGTAAGCAGGTAATTGGCCTGTAGTTGCCTGGTGTTGCCCCTTTTGCTGGATTTTTCATTATTAGGTAGGTTTTCCCAGTTGTTAGCCACTTTTCAATTTCTCCTCCTTGTAGTATATTGTTGAACTGCTTGGCAATGAGTGGGTGTATAACAGTTAGATGTTTCAACCAAAACCCATGCAGTTCATCTTCACCTGGTGCTGACCAATTTTTGATTTTCTTTGCTCTTTTTTCTACCATTTTTGTTGTTATTACTAGTTCTTTCATTTCAACTTCTGTTTTATTTGCATCCACCTCTTTTAACCAAGCCGCATCCTTGTTGTATTTCTTTGGGTTATCCCATATCTGCTTCCAGAACTGCACTGTTTCTTCCTTGTCAAGTACTGACTGATTCCTTGCAGTTTCTCCATTGATGGATTGGTAGAAACGCTTCTGATTGGATTGAAATTGGAGGTTCTGCCTATAGTTTGCAATTCGAGCTTCTTATCTACTGATTTTCCTGGCTATAGCTGTTATTTGTTGCTTTATTATTTCCAGTGCTTCCTTGATCTTCCTTGTTTCTAAGTGGTATTTCTTGATTAGGTATTCTTTGGTCTTCTTGTTCTTCAGCTTCTTTTCTTTCATCTGTTCTAGCTTGCTTGCATGTGATCTTAACTTGCTGATCTTATTTTCTAGTCTAACCTTCCATTTTTGTGGTGCACTGTTTGTTTGTTTTTCTTCTTTGTTGATTTTGCATCCCAGGTATTCAGTTATAACTGCAGCTGTGCTGTACATTAGTTGGTTTGTTTCTTGCAGTGAATTGGTGCTTATACTTGATATTGCAGTATTTGCATCTTTTAATGCTTGTGCTAGCTGTTTCTTTGGAACAAACTTCAATGCAGTCAGCCTTATTCTGTTGTTTTTGTGCTGTTCTAGATGCTCAGTTATTCTTTGTTTCAACTCTTTTATTTCTTTAGTTAGAGGGTTTTGTTCTTCCTGAGGAAGAGGTGACTGGTTTCCAAATGAGAACAATTGTATATCTCTGCTGAATTCCTTCACTGCCAACTCCCCCTGGTTTGCCTCTACATTCTGAATTACTTCTGGTAAGGCTTTGATTTCTTTGCCCTGGGTAAACCTTTGCAGTTCATCCAATTCTGTTTCTGTGAATACTTTATTTCGTATTATAAATCTGCATTGATCTGCTAGTCTCTGTTCTGTTATTTCTGATTCTGGATGTTGTTCTTTCCAGAACTGGTGCATTCATTTTAGATATCCTCTTCTTGTTGGACTTGATCTGTAGTAACAGATCATTATTTCTTTGTTTTCAATCACTGTGTAATAATAATAATAATAATAATAATAATAATAATAATAATAATTATTATTATTATTATTTCAAAGCACTTTGTCTCAGCATTCAATTTACAAGCCAGGCATAATTGTACTGTGAATGTCAGAAAGCTATTTTAAATATACGAGTTAATACTCAATCTTCTGCCGTTACAAAGTTCATCATCTGAGTTGTTTAACATTGGAAGTACCAAAGACATTGCATTATCTTACATCCTTAGAACAGAATTTGTGAAAAAAGATGTAATCTCTGTTGTTCTTTCATAATGTAGTTATTCAAATTCTTTTAAAGAAACACAAATAGAAGCAGTTAATTAGCTGGATTCTGAGATAGTAGGAATTTTGCCAAAGCTGAAATGTGCTGTCTTCTACACTAATAGAAAGAGTTGCTTCAGGGCTGCAGCAAGCTTTGTGACAGAATCATGATAAAATCACTTTGTCTTCATATACCAATAGTAACACTGCAGGGGAATAAAGATAGTTGGCCAATAGGGGCTCTGCATTCTTAGTTAGTATTGGCAGCTTTTCTAATTACTCTATTCCAACCACTCAATTATTTGTTGTATCTTCCTAATGTATCACCAGCTTTATTTTATTCATGCACATTTTAATTAAGAAATCAAAGTCTAATTTAAAAATGGTAGGCAATATTTTTTAATCAGATTCTATTTATTGTAACACTCAATGAAATGTGCCAGTCAATTGCTTATTGTCAACTAACTGAATTCCAAAAGAGTTACACATAAGGTACGGTATAACATGGCAAGCGGCAGCAGCTACAGTATCAGAGTTCACACTTCAAAATCAATATCACACTTTTTATTGTTAAAACCTTTGACCAATTACATCATTATGGTAGATCCACCACTGTTTTAGTGTACACAACCACCCACCCTCACTTATGAGACTATGCTGCAAAGTGTAACAACATACTTGCTAATCAATCCAAATCAGTGCCAATCAAAACCCTCCTTGTCTCACGATAGCACATGCAAAATATCTTGATGTATGTATTATTATTATGCCATGACATGAACTGTATATGAAAGAACATTTTAAGAATTCCAAATAATGCATCCCTGATATTCATCTAATGGTCCATTACTGGACTACATCTTAGTAGTCCAGTTAAAGATCTTATCAGGCAATGTATGAACCAGACATTTGATTTCATCCTGAGGTCTGATGTAATCACAGGGCACATCTAATTAAAGAAGCATGAAAATGCTCAGAAAAAACTGTATAATGCAGAATTCCTAAAGAGAACCTAAATTAGAGAAGCACAGTTTCTTTCCTTCAGGGGAGATTAAAAAAAAACAAACCCTATCACCTGAACATTTCTCGTATTTTTTCTGGACTTACGGTTAAGAAGCAGGCTGGCATTGGTTGTGCCTAATTTGTTGGCAGCGACACATGTATAGTTGCCAAAATGCTCTTCTGTCACATTGTTGAAATTTAAAAATGATCTTGAACTATAGCTATTTATAGTAATTCCTTGTTGCCCATTGATCAATCTAGAATGGAGGAGAAAAGGAAAAGTACTCTGTTAGAATTAACATGCAAATATATTTGCATTTTTGACTTAATCTATGTATGAATGAAATATATTAACTTATACCAAAGTAAGATAGTAAAAATGGGAATAAACACAAACTACGAAAACCATTAATGCCATATTTACAAAAAAAAATGCCAGTGCCATATTTTTCTAATGAACCGTAATTTAGCAAACGACTATCATCTATGCAAATAACATTAGACCACAGAACACATTTCCTTCCTTAAGCACAAGTTTCTTAAATTTAAGGAAGTCTAAATTCCGAATTGGTTTGTTGATTCAGGAAAAAATGGACAAGACGTCCAATAAATGTATACAGGAAATGATACAATGCGGGCAAATAGTGAAAGAAAACCATGATTCATTTTAGAATGAAGCTTTGTTTCTTTTCATTTTCAATTGTGAAGGAGCAGGGCAAGCTATAATTGAATGCTAGGGATAAACAGCAAGAACTAATTACTCACAGTCCAGGAGAATCAGGGCACAGTAAGATAAAGATTAGCAAATGACTTAAAAAGCAGGCCATAAGACTAGGACAATGTTTTTCAAACATAGCAACTTAAAGATATATGGACTTCAACTTCCAGAATTTGCCAGCCAACAGATTGAACTTCATTTAATGTTACCAAGATTGAGAAACTCTGGGCTGGGAGTTATTAGCACTTTCCAGAATCTTTTGCATTCCTTGTCTTGGATACTACCAAAGCAGCTTGAAAGATAAAAATATTTAATGTGGATTTCAAGCAAGGCAGAGTAATAACCTTGTATTTTGTTACTGAATTTATTTTTTGAGGAAGCAAATGAAAATTATTGATTTATCCAGATGATATGTTGATGGCTTGGAAACTAAGCCCTATTTAAATGAAGTCTATTATATACATTATGTCTACCCTATATAGTCAGCTGAAGACCTATACTGGGATCTCTCTGCATGATCAAAACTTTTTTAAGAAGTATAAAAAAAAATATCTGACAAGCACAGATCTTGAACTTCACTTCAGTACTTTATGTCTGCTTTGTGAATCAGTCTATATCCTTTACTCCAGGGGTCTTCAAACTTGGCCCTTTTATGACTTGTGGACTTCAACTCCCAGAATTTCTTAGCCAGGTTGAGGCTGAGGAATTCTGGGAATTGAAATACACAAGTCTTAAAAGGGCGAAGTTGAAGACCCCTGCTCTACTCCAACTGTTGGAAATGTCTGTTATTTGGTTTAGTTCAGATATGAGAAAATTGGAGATCTCCAAATGTTATTTTACAACAATTCCCAGCAACTTTAGCAGGCATATTTACATGCTGTAGTTAGGATTTGGCAATATTTGGAGAACCTAGATTCTAGCATTTGCTTAGTTTAATGACTTTAGATGTATCAGTTGATATATGTGATATCAGCTGAAACCCTTGTCCTCTTTGGAAGACACCTATCCTTATAGACCACGGGTGTCAAACTCGATCGTGTCATGTGACATATTGTGATGTATTGCAATGTGTTTTGCCTTTGTGGAGCCGGGATGGGCATGATGCATCCAGCCCGTGGGCTGCTGGTTTAACATCCCTATTGTAGACCCTGTCATAGCCTTCACTTACTTCTCCTGTTTGATTCATGTACATATTAAAATTACTTTTCATTTTGACTCCAAAACAATGCTGAATTTTTAAAGAAACCTAAATATACTACTCATAGATAATAAATTATGCACCAACTTGCTTGAGTTTCATTGCATATCATAATCACCTTTTGCACATATTAACTGTTCTTTGATTCTACAAAATTCTCTGATTTTCAAACTAAATGTATAGCATATAAAAATGTATAGTAAACAAAAATTACTTATAAAAGCAAGATAGCACACAGGATCATTTTAATTATAGAACAGATATAACACATGGATTAGGTTATAGAAGCATCATTAGAACTCTTAGGTTTGAGTAAATATATATATATATTGTTTTGCATAATAATACATGATAAATATTATGACTATAGCTAACCTTATTGATATTTACTAAATAAAGGACCCATATTAGAATTTTCTCTTGTATAAAATGTCATCATTGCAAAAGAAGCCAGAACATATATTACCCATAAAATGGTCACTTTTTACCTCTTTACTCAACTATGAAGTAAAAGTATAATTCAGTTACTTTATTTAAAATAATGAGGACTGAAAAAGCTATCATATCAGTGGGTAAGCATAAAGCATCAGTTTTTCTTTAATGTCTGTGCTCCCTCTCTCAAATTCTCTTCAATTTTCTTCAACATTCTTGCTGACTAAACCATCAAACAATTGTTTGAATTAGGCACAGAAAACAGCCACAAAATTTAACAGCAAATTTAGATTGAACTTAAATGACACGTTTCAGTGTAACATAATGCAATATAAATTATGCTTATGTACTTGTGTGGAACATTTTTTTTTCCTTTTTTCCTTTGGAAAAAGTCTCTCTAAATAAAATGGCTCATTTTCCAGCTATAATAGAATGTTCATGTTTTTTTTTTCTCTTTTCTTTTATCTTGCAATTTGGGTTAAGTGCAAAATTTGGCTCCCATGGATGAAAATACTTTTTTTTCCTCTGATTTTTGATCCAGTGACAGACTCCATTGGAAGGATGAGTAAGGAGTAAAGTAAGGCATCTCCTTTCTTTCTTAAAATGTATTACAGAAGTTGAGAAATTGCTAGAACAATGGGATAAGAGTTAAATTGGGCAAAAAATTATCCACTGCTAACTATTGATAGCTGCATTCTTTCAGAGTGGATTTTATTCAATGGAACTTACTGTTGGTGGAAAGAAAAAATAGATTTTATTCAGTTAAATCACACACTTTTACAGATACACTTTTATGTGAACTAACTTAGAACATGCCTCCTAATCTCTCCAAATAGGCTGGAAAATTTGATTTTTTTTCTGTCCTTTTTTTGAAGTCAAACTGGACATCTTTTCTTCAATGGTAGAGGCTGATCTTATAACAATTATGATTTTCTGGCATAAATAAAACCACAAACATACTGAGCCAAGATACCAAGATTGATTATTTCTTTCTTCAATCCTTTTATGAACTGGGCATTTGTAACCTGATTCAGATTTTGGAAAAATATAGTTAAATGTGAAAATACTTAGCTATGCTTGGTTACTCCAAGAATTGTTTATATTTCATCCTGAAAGCAGAATTCATACTTATATAAATAAGTCACTATTTAATTTTGATATATGGAGACAGCACATCATAAATATAGGAGAGAAGTACTTTTTTGCATTCAGCAAAATGTATATCTATCAGTATTAATGTATAGCTGCATATTGATGACTTAATATTGTACACTACATTAATATTGTACATTACATTAATGTTCTATTTTTTATTTAATCACCACACAGTTCTGAATAAAAAATGTATTTTAGTTTAACCATCCAGAGCATAATATTACACATAAGAAATAGATACTGTAGTCCTTTTCAAAATCCTGAGAATGAATTGTTGGTTTATCAAGCAAAATTGAATATTTCTCCTTTAATTTTTTTTCTGCACATTCCTGTACGATCATGCTATGTGTAATAAGGCTTATTTACATGCAGGCAGCTATACGATACAACTTAAAATTTAAATATTTCTGTCACAAGTTTTAATTATTAGTTCCTGTTTACAAAATACAAATATCCTCTGAAAAAAGAATGTGAACTGCATCATGTTTTTATTTCTAAAGTGTTAAATTTATGTAGACAGTGAATAAATTAGAAAGATACTAAGGAAAACGTCCCTTTTGTTATAGATTTCTGGGGCCAATTAACAAGAAAAAACAGAAATAGCTACAATTATTTAATTATAATTTTAATAGGGCAAACTTTCTTAGGTCAAGTGCCTTCCAGTTTTTGACTGATATAATCCTAGGAGTTGTAATTCCAATAATTCTGAAAAGCACCAATATGGGAAAGGCTGATATAAATAATTAAAGGTTAATCCATCCAGTGCTTCATAATTATCTTCAGTGAATGTAGAAACAGATTTAATTTATATATTTATATGCCACATTTGATATTTTAATAAAAAACTAAAGGTGGTGAACATAACTAATATTTCTTTCTCCTCCTATTTTCCCCACAACGACGAGCCTGTGAGGTGAGGTGAGCTGAGCTGAGAGAGATTGATAGGCCCAAAGTCATCCAGGTAGCTTTCATGTCTAAGGCAGGACTAAAAGTCATGGTCTCCTGGGGTTTTTATCCTGGTGAATAACTACTAGAAAAACAGTAGAAAGAGGTTTGTTAAATGTTTCTCCTTAATGTTCTACTTGTCAGAATATTTGATTTAAGGAAATAACAAGTGCTAATTTTATCTGCTACCTGCTGTTCAGAATTATATATACTACTTTATTCCGCTCATTCTGTACCACAGCTTTTGGATCACTGTAAATCTACAATGAATGTTGAAATGTGTCCTATAAAAATAGAAAACATTCATTTTCATGTTAAATAAAGAATTTCCAAACTCACTTCTCCATGTAAAGTTCAAAAAGCCCTATACGTGTCCTTTCCTGACTCTGCCCTTTGTCCACATACGGTCTTTATCTCTCTTGATACACTTTTATTTCTTCTTTTTTTCCAGTCTCTACATTGGTTGATTAGAAGTTCAAACAGGTGCAGACCTCCAAAGCTGTATCTATAAGAACACCCAGCTATTTATATTAAAATTTATTCTCCTGTACGAATTGTCCTAAGTATACAATCAAAGTCAATTCAATTTTTCTTGCATTAAATTGTAGAGATAGGGGTCAGGTAAAGATTGTGAGCAGCAAACTGCCCCTCCAAAGCCTGCATGTCTCTTCTCTCTACATGATCTCATCAGTTCACATCACCATGGCAATGTGGGAAACTACCCCAGGCTGGTACAATGACCTCACCTGCCTGATATCAGCTAGGTTACATCAACAGGATGTTGCAGCAAACTGCTCCCTGTCTGGGGCCTCCTGGCTGGTATATTCTTAAGGATTGGCAAGAGGTTTCACTAATAAAAATGCTGCTGCCATGTTACTATATGCTACTTGGAATATCTGTATAAAAGCAATAAACACTGCGAAGGCAGTCAGACATCTTTGCACCCTGCAATGACTAGTCACTGATTCCATCATTAAATAATCTCTCTTGCTTGGGAGGACTTGTCCCCATCTAGTTCCTACACTTAGGAATTTGACTCTTGCTTGAAATACATTTGGAATATTATTCCCCACTGAAAAGCAGAGATGGTCAAACTGACTCTTTTATCCAAAGATGAGAATCTATTTAATCTTGCTTTTATTTTGAAATTGCTTCCAGATTTTGTGCTTGCAATGAAAAAGAAAATAAAATTTTGATTTTGTGTTTTTATTAGATAGGTTTATTGGTATAAAAATGGTTTGTGAATACTGTTGTGTAAAAGCAAAAAGCCGTGATTGTAATATTATCTTCTACTGTGCTAAAGAGAGTCAAAAGTTGGTTCCTTTTTCTGTTCTCTTCTTTTCTCATACTACCTTTTTTCTTTTTCCTTCCCCTTTTTCTAGTTTTCTATTACTTTTTAAATTTGTCTTTGTCTTTTATATTTTGACAAATCAATACAAATTATTAAAATTGAAATACATTTGGAATATGATCTTTTGGCATTTAGAAAGCTTGAAAGTCCTCTCCTTCCCATTATTAGCTATAAAATTATATTATGGTCATGTTTGTATTAGGAAAGGTTTGTTTTCTATGAATTACCATATTGCTTTAATGCTAATTGTAGTTATACATTATTTTGAGAGTTATATCATACATTATTGAGAGCCACTTTGGTGTACTGGTTAATATGCTGGCCTAGAAAGCAGGAGATGTCCTGCTTTAGCTAGGAAAGCTGGCTGGGTGACCTTGGCTGGTCATTCTTTCTCAATCCAATCTACCCCACACTGCTGCTCTAGGAGGAAGAAGGAGAATTATTTATAAAAAATAAGACATGATAAAAATTTAATATAAATAAACAAATAAATATTATTCTTTTCTACCTGGGCTGTGCTTAGTTACAGGTACACACTGAATCAAATTACAACTATTGCTATTGCTACTACAGATTTTCAATTCACATCAGCTCCAAGTAGAAAAAAAAAGTGTTTTATGTATACAGCATCTATGATTAATTATTACTAGCACAGTTTTCCCCAATGTAGAATGTCCATAGGTGATTGGACTATAATTCCCATAACTAAAATAAATTAAAATAACCTCTTTCCCCTGGATTTTGGTACCTCTACTGAACACTCTTTCACTATATTTAGATCATAGAAGTGAACTTCATGTAACTGAATCCCACCTTGGATTGACCACTTTCTTTGACAATACACACGTTAAGAAAAGTCATAAAGATTCCTCCCCCCTTATTAAAATGCAAAGTATCCAAACTTACTTTCTTTCTCCTTTGTACCATTCAAAAGCTGGGGAAGGAACACCCGCACTTTCACATCTTATGAATCCAGTGCCTCCAAGAGTGACGCCACTGGATTTTATTTCTTGAATTGTTGGGGCAACTGCAAAGAAGCACAAATATGTTTTTGAGACATTAAGCACTTGTTAGAATGCCATGTCAAACATGTTGCTCAGCAGTAAGTTTATTCCCTGGCTCAAAGTGGGCATCTGGGTAGCATATGCATTTAACAATAATAATGAAAATGGTTTTGAAAATAATATAGCAATGCAACCTGATTTATTTATGTTGGGCTTCTTGGAATCTTAGAATGAAATTTGTTAATCTGTTCCACCTATTACAACTGCAGAAGTGGGGAGATTAGACCTAAAGTTGCTCACTGAATTTATTACAAAAGGGAGGTCCAAAATCCAAATATGATTCTTCCCTGTGGTGATGCTACTGTTTAAGATAGGGGACTTCAAACTTGGCCCTTTTATGACTTGTGGACTTCAGCTCCCAGAATTCCTCAGCCAGTGTGCCTGGCTGAGGAATTCTGGGAGTTGAAGTCCACAAGTCATAAAAGGGCCAAGTTTGAAGATCCCTGGCTTAAGATAAAGGCATTCAAACTCAGAAACCTGTGGAGCAAAACAAAAGTATTTTATTGGGCCCATCAATAGCAAAATGTGCAACAGTCAAACATACTTCTGCCAATATGTTTGCTTTGTTTCTAAAATCCTGGTTACAATAAAGATGAAGGCTACTGAAGTGACATCATTTCTTGCAGGGCCAGCATAACCCTAGTTTGCTTGTCTTTGCTTTCCTTCTCCAATATTCAACTTTGTTTTAACTAAAGATGTGCAACACCTCCTCCCCCTAAATTATTTCTAGAGGAACATATTAGCAAGCTCTACCAAAATAGACTTTACAATAGTGTACAAAAGAGTTCCGAATAAAGTCTGCTAGTGTCAAAATCATCTTAAAAATATTATTTGGGCAATGTGCATAGAAAAGAATGCATGATTTTTAAATGTTGAATATGAAAAAAATATTAAAGGTATATATTTTTATATAAACATATATAAAATACATTTGGATCAGGAAAACGTATGTTAAAGAAAAGCAAGCATTAGGCTCTTATTCTATGTTAGAAAGAAAGACATTTGGGTAATTGTAGAAAAAGGTATGTCAGAGATCTATGTTTAAAAATTTGGATGAATTCATATTGCATGTGAAAGAAAACTGCAAATGGTAATTGGATGTAGAGACCATAAAGTACACAATGAATTAGGGTACGGACTTATTAATTTTAATAGTACAATTGACCATATTTATAAACAATGTATTTATTCATTCATTCATGCACAAACACATCCATTCAATTATTTTATACATTGCCCATTTTCACAAAGGAACCCAACACAGTTTACAGTCACAATGAAACAATCCAGTAAAAATAATTTTGCATCAAAGGTGGTATAACCAATCAATGGCAACTCTTGTATCATCAGTTCAAGAAGTCCTAGATTTTAACACTGTTTTGAAGAGAAGGAAGTTGAGGCAATCCTTACTTTAGGATGCAAAACATTCCAGAAAAATTGAGGTGAGAACAAGAAAGTCTGTTTTTAGGCTCCCATCTCATCTCTTACTTCAAAGATAACATGGGTAGGCTGAATCTGAGTAAAAAAGATGGGACTGAGATTTCTTAGGTGATAAGTCATGCAGGTATTTAATGATAACCATCATTTTGCATTGGGTCCAGAAGAAAATTTGCTGATTCAAAAGGAATGAAAACAAACACTTATATGCTAAGTGTTCCTTATAGGATGTTCACTAGGGGAATTCATAAAACCAGAGTTGTGGAATAACAACAACAACAATAATAAAAGTTGGAAGGGACCTTGGAGGTCTTCTAGTCCAACCCCTTGCTCAGGCAGGAAACCTCAGACAAATGGCTGTCCATTCTCTTCTTAAAAACTTCCAGTGTTGGAGCATTCACAGTTTCTGGAGGCAGGTTGTTTCATTTATTGATTGTTCTAACTGTCAGGAAATTTCTCCTTAGTTCTAGGTTGCTTCTCTCTTTGGTTAGTTTCCATCCATTGCTTCTTGTCCTGCCTTCAGGCGCTTTGGAGAATAGCTTGACTCCCTCTTCTTTGTGGCAGCCCCTGAGATATTGGAACACTGCTCTATCATGTCACCCTCGTCCTTCTCTTCATTAAACTAGACATACCCAATTCCAGCAGCCGTTCTTTATATGTTTTAGCATTCAGTCTCCTAATCATCTTTGTTGCTCATCTCTGTACTCTTTCTAGAGTCTCAACATCTTTTTTACATGGTGGTGACCAAAATGCAGTATTCCAAGTGTGGCCTTACCAAGGCATTGTAAAGTGGCATTAATACTTCACGTGATCTTGATTCTATCCCTTTGTTAATGCAGCCTAGCACTGTGTTGGCTTTTTTGGCAGCTGAAGCACACTGCTGGCTCATATTTAAGTGATTGTCCACTAGGACTCCGATATCCCTCTCACAGTTACTATTACTGAGCAAGTTACCACCTATACTATAACTGTGCATTTGGTTTTTATTGCCTAAATATAGAACCTTACTTTTTTCACTACTGAATTTCATTTTGTTAGATAGTGCCCAATGTTCAAGTCTGTCAATGAAATGAAAATAAGCAACTAGCAAAGAGTCGTTTTGCAATGTGAGATGAGTGGTATATAAATGTAATAAATAATCTTCTCCTTTTTCTACTTTTTTTTCTCCTCTGATAGCCACCAGAGATACCTTTGTTGATTTCAATGGATCTTTCCATTCCCACATAGTTATATACAGTGTTTTATATATACAGTACAGTTAAAATTCCTGTAAAATTGTTTGGATCTCTTCCTAAAGCATACCCTTTATACTGTTATGTTTAAAACAGTGGTTCTCAACCTTTTTAATGCCATGACCCCCAACCGGTCGTAAGTCGAGAACTACTCAACTGGTCGTAAGTCGAGGACTACTCAACTGGTGCAGCACCGTTTGCAGAATGGGACTTTTGGCAGGCTCAGCAGGGCAGAGACAGCCTGGACAATTCCTATTGGCTTTTGAAAGCCAATAGAATTAGACTCTATTCAAGAGAGTCTATTCTATTGGCTTTCAAAAGCCAATAGAATAAAAGGGAGTAGCACAGCTAAGGAAAAGGGGAAAAAAATGGCGGACTGTGTTGTTTGGCGACCCCCGTGAAATGGTCGTTTGACCCCAAATGGTTTAAAATATATCTGCACCAGAAAATGAGGAATCAGACCTTTACATATGCTGGTAGTTAATGATTTAAATTCTACTAAATCCAAGGAGCAATTATAATCCTTCTAATGTTCTTGGCAAATTTCCTGTGAGGCCATTAGAAATGTTCTAATTGATATTAATATTTTTCTGAAACAAATACACTAAGCAATACTACATTATTCCAACCTTTTTTTTTCAAATCAGCCAATCACACTCTTTTCAATTTCACTTTTTATTATTTTGAAACAATGCTCAGTAATAACTCATGTCAAGTAAAACATTTTTATGTGGGCAATATTAATAAGACTATACAAATCATTAAAAGGAAGTGCACATAAACCATCTCTTCCCAAATTATTACGGCAATTGTGTCTTTTTTCCATGCTCGCATGACTTCTTTGGAGGCATATTTGTGCATGTGTTTGGATGTGTGCATGTATACACACACACACACACACACAAACATATACATACAAACATGTACTTATTGTATACTGGTACACACAGACCTCTCTCTCCCTCTCTCTCTCTCTTTCTCTGTTTCTGTATGTGTGAAAGAGTGAGTGTGTGTGTGTGTGTGTGTGAAAGAGAGAGAGGGGGGGGGAAAGGAAAGTTTAAACAGGAGATGAACCACAAAAACAACCAAACTAAAAGATAACTAGAGGAAAATAAAAATAGAAGAAATATAACACAAAAATAGTTCTAATAAACAGAAAAAAATTAATGTGGCCTAACAGAAGATGCATTTGAGATATCTCTCTCATACAACTAATTTATTTTTCTTTTAATAGCTATTTATAAGACCTTACATGATGCTTTTGAAGAGGGATTTTTGGGGTGTGTGTATGAATACAATCAGTGTCATTGTGCCATCAGTAAAAGAATTGGGCCCCAATTTATTTGGGAGAAAATCTGGAACTCTTGCAATAAACAATCCATAGCAATAGCTGCCAACAAAGTCTAGTTATTATTTGCTGTTCCTTAAAACAATCACATTAAAATTTAAGCATCTGCAAAGCAGCTGGAAGATTACACTGTAGGATTTGTTCCCCCCCCTCCTAAATGCATGAGGTGACTGCTGGCTTCTTCTCCAGCTTTGTTTAACCTTTAAAAAGTCCAGCAGGGATTTTTGCAAAGAAACATTTTCCCTTCTCTAGCATTTCTTGAAATGATAATATGACCACCTGACAGGATTCACTCACAGAGCAGGATATATTTATTAGCACCTGGAGTTATTCCTTGCATGTGGCATCATTTTGCTTGCACAACTCAGTTTTGCTTACTGAGAACACAAGGCACTCGATGGCATCTTCATGAGTCTCATAATTAGTTCACTAGTCTTGTGATCAATTCAAACAATGTCCTGCAAAGCCTTAATACTTATTCAGCAGTTGTAGAATTACCACAAGCATGACATGGGCTGGCCTAGCAAACTTTCCTGAGAGATGCAAACAGTAGCTAAAATGCTTCTATGTACTCCAAATTTGATCTTTCAACTTTTTAATGAGCTTGAGGACCTTTTCATGTTCTTGGCTTTTGAGGTTTTCTCTAGATTATTACCACAACAAATGTGCATGATTTTTTTACCTGAGAAAATTTGACAATTACTTGGCATGGCTCAATCTCATTCCATTTTCCAGAATACAGTATTTTACAAAAGGACTAAATGTCTTCACTTGAACATAAATTGTGGCTATCATTTTTTCACTCAAAATATGACAAAATAGGAGACTTCTGGTTTTGAGCCACAGAGTGTGGCGGAGGGATTGCAGAGCTCCACACACCATGGCTGGTTTCGTCCTGCCAGGGGACCCTAAATGGGTCTAAAGTTGCCCCAGAGAGGTGACAAAG